AACAGGCGGGTTTAATCGTACTGGGTCAGAAATTTTTTATACGTTGAATAATTTTATTGATACAAAAATAAAAAAAAGTGAATTGACTATCGATTTACTTAGTTAGAGTGACGATATGAGGAATTAGCTCAATTTTACGGGGATCGGCGTTTTGAGAAGTTCCGATATTTCAGAAATTCAATAGTTTATCTCAGGAAGAGGATTGAAAATTAACTTCCAATTTCCAGAACTATACAATGGGAGCCGGAATAACAAACCATGTACAAACGGAGAAAATAGAAGACAAAGAGTGAGCTAATCCCAACACTATAGTCACCTTCACTTGTCCTCTCTTTGGAATTGGTCTCCCATATTCTACCCTTCTTGACATCATGTTTACTTCGTTCATCACTATCTCTTTTCTTGCTCCAGCCATCTTTGAAATTCTCCGATGTGTTTTTACAACTAATGAAATACGGTGATGGATGGATCGCCGGTGGTTTCTCTGGTGAGAGTGGCGGTGGTGTACTCTCTACTGAGTCGCTGATGGTTGCTTGACACTCGTGTTTGAGTTGCTCGTTGGAGTGAAATGAATGGTCTCGTGAGTATATATAGTTGAGTGTTTGGTATTAGCCCCTACTTTTGGAGAAATTTACCATATTAAGCCATTGCTTATCTTTATCTCCATTATTAGAGCTACTGCTGACATATTCGTTGTGATATCGACCTTATTGTGTTCACATTGTCTTTTCACTTACATTTTTGCTTAAACCCAAAAGAAAAGACTTTTGTTGGTAGATAGAAATATCTAAATGCTGCTGTGCCCTAAATGATGTTTCAATTTAGCTGTTCTTATTCTTCATGAATGGAACAGATTACTAAACATAGGAAAAATACCATAGCATAATGGAATGCTTAAACAAGCGGCAATACTAGGGTATTTGGATTGACATATTTTAAGTGCTTATTGACTTTTAAGTACTTTTTTTTCTAGGAGTTTGTATTTTCTTAATGAATTTAACAAAAATAAAATAGTCATAAATTATGGACCGAAAGGAATATTTTTTAAAAGCCAATCCAAACACCATTATGCCATGTCACTTCAAGTGAGAAATAGTAGCAAAGTGTGGCATCCTATTAGTTCTGTCACTTTCTTTATTTCTTTTTCTTTGTTTTTCCCTCCATATAAAAGAGAGGTAGAGTAAGTTATGTTTCGGAAAGATAATGATTTAAACTAACTTAACATTTTTTAATCGCAAGTTGATGAGTGGTGGGCACATTTGCCAATTAAGCATGTACCGATATTTTGGTGGAAGCAAAAGAAAAAGCCATTAGAATAATCTGAAAGCAATATTTTAGTTCCCATGTTGCATAAAAACACGTGGGAATTTATATTATTGATACCAAATCCATTTAGCTAAAGTAAAGTTATCACTGAAAAGGAAAACTGGGCCAGATGGCTTTCTGTCATTTTCTTATCTTTAATTTGTTTTCAACACCAAAATTATTATGGACTCGTTCATTGTATTAAGACTCGCTTTTCGTTTAATTAGCCTGGTCAATATGTTCCATCTATCAGTTGCTTTGCCAATAATGACTATCAATTTTGATATTTCGTTTTTTAATTAAATGTTCCTTTAGGGTCTCTGTCATTCTTCGTCATCATATTAATACATCGAAACTGGCATGGTTTTTAATTTATGGAGTATGTTTAGGATTGTCTATAAATTTGGAGCATTAGCTTTGGCAGGATCTTGACTTGGTCGGTTTTCAGATACTATATGTTTCCCTTGGAATTTGAAAAATTTGCGTCCACACCTATGCTATATATTTTTTTTAGTGTTGCGTTTCCACTTACGATGGACTGTTACATGACTTGCTGAGTAGTGAGTACAACGTTCCAGCGTCAAACTTGACCTTCTTTGTCCCCCCCCACATAAAATATAAAGACAATGTTAAAAGGAAATGGCAGATGGAAGCTTATATTGCATAAAACAAGTTTCGCATAAGTAGTATTGAATTATTATTAAAATTTTCATCAGATCACTAAAAAAAAAATTTAAAAATAACTCAAAATTATATTCATGTCCAAACACAACTCTAATTTTCAAATACCATTTATTTGAAAAAAGTTTCACTGAAACGCCCACTTAACATCTCAAACTTTCTTAAGAATGAAATTCACTCAATTGATATTTTTGGTATGAAATCTTCTTTCTATTTTGGGTAATATTTGAGACATTAGTTTATATACGTCACTCAATAGTGACACAAGTGACATGAGAACGTATCACGTGTTTCTTTTATTCGTTTGCTCTGCAAAATAGTGAAACTTACTCATCAACGTTGTAATCTGGTCCCTTTTGTTACTACTTTCTTTCCTCCTTTTCTTTTTTCTCCCAATTAATATATCTTCTCTTCTCACTTAATGTGTGCAACTTGAAATTGTCTTGTAGTTCAATATATTTAATTTGATTTGGAACCACTTCATTGGATCTATTATTTCTTCATTAGTTTGTTCCCTTTCTAGGGATGACAAATGGGTAGGGCGGGCGAATAATAAATGGGGCAGGGCAGGTGTAGGGGCTGGATTTTTGCTGCAAGCACAAGCAAACAAACTGGAGTATTCTTCACTTGGGTGCGCATATTTCTGTACAAAGGCTTCAAATCATTTTAGCAAAGCATATAATTAATTAGTTGCCGAAATGTGTTCTGTCTTTCTTTCCTAATGTTTCGTAATCAAGACGACATGTTACTAAAGCGTAATATCTGGTTAATTCATCGAGTTTAAATAACAAATAGTAAATGATAAAGAAATCGAAGCTGGAAAAAAATGATGTGCTTCTTATTCTAAATACAAATTACAGTAGCATAATTTTGAGAAGAAAGACTAATTCAACATCCAGGCATAAATTGACCCTTTCATTAAGTAAAAATGACAGTCCTGTGGTGTTTGTTTGAAACAAAAAAGGAGCTAATTAAGTCTACTATCGTTTCTCATTCTAAGTAAAAATGACAGTAGCGTAATTTTGAGATGAGTCAACTAGTAATTTACAGTCCTAAACTTTAAAAAAAAAAAAAAAACAAGAAAGAAACAAGGAGCTAAACAGGGCGGGGCGGGGCGGGGCTAAGTAGGGCGGGGCAGGGCAGGTTGAAAAAGAAAAAAACTGTTCAATGGGGCGGGGCCATCCTAGTCACACCAGAGCTTTGATGGCGTAGCATGCTTCAACCCTATTTCAGTTGAAAGATGGTGTATCCACATTATCTCACATGTTGATTATGCCATAGCTCTATACTCTGATTCTGCATTGGACCGAGATACAACATTCTATTTCTTACTTCTCCATGATATCAAGTTTCCACCGACAAATACATAGTAACCAGAAGTAGATCTTCTGTCAATCTTGGATCCAGCCCAATCTGCATCTGCAAAACAATCAATGCGGGAATGCCCTTGATTGCTATATAATATGCCAAGTCCAGGAGCTCCTTTTAAGTAACATAGGATCTGCTCCAAAGCCTCCCAATGTTTGATTGTGGGCGCGAACATGAACTAGCTAACCATACTTACTGCAAAAGCAATATTTGGACGAATCACAGTGAGATAGTTTAATCTCCCAACTAACCTCCTGTATCTATCTGGATCATTAAATGGCTCGCCATCATCTTTCATAAGAGGCAAATTAGGAACCATTGGAGTACTGCAAGGCTTGGCAGCCAACTTACCAGTTTCTGCCAGTAAGTCAAGAATATAATTTCGCTGAAATAGAAAAATCCCCTTCTTGCTTCTAGTTACTTCTACTCCCAAGAAATATTTCAGTTGCACCAAGTTTTTTGTATGAAACTTAGTATGCAAGAAAGACTTGAGAGAAGAGATTCTTGCATAATCACTTCTTGTAATCACAATGTCATCAACATATACAACAAGGAGAATAGATCCAGATGTTGATTGCCTGTAGAAGACTGAATGATCACATTTGCTCTTTTTTAGCCCAAATTCCTGAACTACCTCACTAAATTTACCAAACCAAGCCCGGGGGCTCTGCTTCAAGCTATATAAGGACTTCTTTAAATGACAGACCTTTCCATACTCCCCCTAAGCAACAAAACCAGGTGGTTGCTCCATATACACCTCTTCATGAAGATCACCATGAAGAAATGCATTCTTAATATCCAATTGATGCAAAGGCCAATTCTCAGAAGATGTTAGAGAAATGAACAAGCGAACAGAAGTAAGTTTGGCTACCTAAGAGAATGTGTCTGAATAATCCACTACATAAGTCTGAGCATACCCTTTGGCCACAAGTCTGCCTTAAGTCTTGCCATAGAGCCATCTGGATTAACTTTGACCGTGAAGATCCATTTGCATCCCACTGCTTTCTTTCCACTATGTAAATTCACTAAATCCCAAGTATGGTTTTCCTCTAAGGCATGTATTTCCTCAAGCATTGCTTCAGATCATCCAGGATGATTCAAAGCCTCTTTCACCGTTTTGAGTATAAAAATGGAGTCTAGAGACGCAATCAAATATCTAGACGCGGGGGATAAGTGGTCGTAGGAAACAAAATTAGCAATAGAATATGTGGATTTGCAAGTACGTGTACCTTTGCTGGGAAAGAGATTCCTACAAATCTGCTATTTATGTACACTACTAAGAAAGAGTCTACATTTATTCTATAATAAGTGTCTAGATTCATTCTATAATAAGTGTCCAGATTCATTCTATAACGTTATTCTAACTGCAAATCATATTTAGACATGAATTAAATAAAGCAAATCCTAAATAACTAAGGTTTTCTACTACAACTTTGAATTAGTTTTCCAATAGTGAGTGGTGACATTATGTTAAAGATTGACAATAATGAATAGTTGTTGATTGCAGCGACTAATACAAAATAAGAGTTTTAATATTTATAAAAGAAAATGACTTTTGTTGTAATGAGAGCCATTTTTTCCTTCTCATTTTTTATGAGAATTACATCAAATATTCGAGCAATTCAACATAATTAAATAGAGAAAAATGCATAAAGTACCCATTAAATTTGTCGAGGAAAATTATTTACACATTTAAACTTTTCAGGCAACCTACCGCTCCATTGTTCTCATCTAAACTAAATTTAATACCTCCTTTAAAATATTGAACCGGTCTTGTGGTGGGTTGTGTTAACACGTGTCATGTATCAAGCACTGTTTCAATATTTTATACTTCTTCTTTCCTTTTCCACTCTTTTTTTCATTTCATCTTCTCCAACTTCCTCATTATTTTTGCCCCCCGCCACCATGGAAGACATAACCTCCCTTATACCCATCAACTCTATCTCTATTGTTTTTTTCGTTGTAGAAATTTTTTTGTGGCTTTGACATTAGACGAAATCAAGGAGAAAAAGGGCCGGAAAGCTTGGGATAGAGAGAAATGTTTGGTTGGCCGAAAAGCTTGATGTCGTCGGTATCGTATTTTTTGACAAGGTGGGTTTGCACTCCTAAATCCTTTCGTCTGGGTTTCCTTAGGAGATTTTTTTGTCACTTTATTCCTCCTAGTTTTGTATTGGAAGAGTGAACGAAACCTGAGATATAGAGCAACGAGTTAAGGACCTATAAATTTTCTCCGGCCGGAGAATTTTCCGGTGACACCTTGTCTTCTTTTCAACACTATTTCTGGTTCTAAAGAAGTATTTTTCAGCAAATAGATGAAAAATTGGATGGAGAATCTCAATTGGAGAAGGACGGAGATAAGAATAAGGTCACCGGAAATGGATATTTTAGCCAAGCTAGAGCCATTGGTTCATTGCATCTGTTAAAATGAAGAAAGAGACGGAAAAAAACGGAAAAGAAAAGAAAAATGAATAAGAAAAGAGAAAAAACTAGTATTAAGTTTAATTAGTTATAATATCCAACAGGAAAGTGACACCTGGACAATTAAATTAGTTTTAAGCTATTTTTTTTACCTTCACGCGCATCTATGAAATGAATTAACTTTTCCCGCCAGGTCATCACTTAAGAGGGTATTAAATTCACTTAAGTTTAGAATATGGGGTAAAAGGTCGTCCGTAAAGTTCAAATGTATAAATAATTTTTGGGACAAATTTAATGGATACTTTATGCATTTTCTCTATTAAATATTGAAAAGTGATTTCATTACAAAAACATATTTCCAGAAACATTTGCTACCATAACAAGTATAACAACCACACTTAGCACGAATATCACCTTTAGGAAAAAACAAGATCTACCCTTTACCTAATATCAGCTTTATTTTCACTTTAATTGTGGATGCGCAAAATCAACTTGCATATGACTTGTTTTTCTTTCAAAATCTACCTTTCCAGATTGAATTGTTTGATTATCAGGTAATGATACAAAAGTTTTCCATTACCCTTTCCTAGTATAAAAGAGAATAGAAAAACAAAGTAGAAAACACAGAAAGAAACAAAAAACAAAAAGATAAATGTATGGAATAGATAAGGCTAGCATCAAAACGAGAACAAAAAATGGATTGAGATGTAGGAGTAGTTGATTTTTTTCTATCCGCTTTAAGTTTTGATGGACAGAATTACTAGTGAAATATATACTAGTAATTGATATGCGCGCAAACACAGAAAATGAAAATAAAAATAGAAAGTGCTGTAACCTTGGGGACCTCCAAGTTGATGAAGAGCATCAACAAATCTACGATGCAATTCCGGAGACCAGCAACGCCTCTGTTTCCTCTGCTGTGATTTTTCCTGTAAAAAATTACTACTACACCCATTTGATCTGCCGCCGCCGTTAACTCTTTTCACACTCACATCAACTGGATTTGGATCCTTTTCTCTCTCTCCCACAGTCATACACAGGGATAAATCATTGACCGGTAAACCCTTTTTTTCATCTTTCACCGATCGGACAGAATTTTCTTGAAATGTCATAAATGCCCCTCTGTCATTCTTCAGTTTATATATTCCTAACTGGTATTCATTCTCTCTCCCTTCTACACCACTCTGCTATCAACAATTAATCACACACAAAAAAAATTCCAGTCTTAGAATTTCTTTTAAATCAGATTCTTAATTATTCTGGAAAAAAAACTTACAGATTTTAGGTGTAAAAATTGCCCCTGCTTTCCAAGATCAATGCTTTCATAGTGAACTGGGGTGCTCCACAGCTGAACAGAGCTCATCCAGTTTTTCTTATCACTTATCTCATTTGACTTTTTTACCCTTTCACTTTCTTCAGAATTACCCTTCAATGGGACTGGCCTTTTATCTTTGCCCTTATACTGTAAAGCTTCCTCCTTTAATCTCTCAATAGCTGCCAGATTAATTAAAACCAAAATTAAATTAAAAGGGATGCAGAAAAAATGAAAAATTAAATTAAAAGAAGCTGACCATCTTTTAGGAGAACCATGCAAAGGGGCAATTCACGTTTGAAAGCTTCGATCTTTTTGAGTTCTTCTTCTAAAGAAAGAACAAAGTGATTGAGCTTTGTCAATTTCTTAGATATATCATCTATGGCAGAAACTTCTGTTAAAACATCTGAAATGGTTTTCGGCACGTAAACACAGTTCAAATCCAAATTCAATTCTTTAGAACTTGAACCCATATTTTTTTCTGTCAGATATTTGTTCCTCTATTTTTTTCTCACATTGCCTGGAGAAAAAATGAATGAATAGAAGAGGGTGAAGAAGTCTGATATTTAAATAGCACAGTTACACTTTTCAACGATAACGAGGGCAAAAGTGGAAAATTCTAAAAGATTCTATAGTTTTTTTCACATTCGGGTCGTCGCATATTTGAGTTAACTCGGAAATACGGTTAGTCATACATAACGAGTTTTAGCTAAAGGAATCTTTTGACTCTGTACGGAGAAATGGAATTAAATTAATGTTACTTTTTTTTTAATAAGAAATTTTTACTTTCCAAGATTCTGCGTTTTGAGGCGGTCGGCTACGTTTTTTGACTTTAATTCCATACTTTGATAAGAACGGAAGGGAATATTTAATTGAATGGACAAAATTGGCCATGTTATATGACTTTTTTCAACATCTTACAGATTAATGTGATCAGATTCTCTGTTTTTGCTTTAATTGCAAAATCAGTTTCAAGTAAAGGTTCACAAGATATAACCAAAAACAGAACAGTTTTGGATTCTACCTCTACTTCTTTAATTTTCCTCTTTTGGGACCTTAAACTTCTATTATCTCTAGGCCACGTTTCGATAGTGTTTGAATATCAAAAATTTTATAATTTTTTTATTATGGTGATATTGACATCTCAATAATTTATTTATTTTAATTTTCTAACACGTACTATATCAAATGACAACTTAGCAGCTAGAGGCTACAATCCAAATGGTGTCAAAATTTTTAAATCTTTTAATATACACTGTATTGGTCAAAATCTGATCGCTGCAGTCGGCCTAACCGAGATCCTGTCCAAGAGACGAGGTAGTGGAAGACGACATGGTTTGCTCCAAAACCCCGCACTCACAATACCCACCATGATAAAGAACAATACTCAAGGAACGACGAAAGCGGACGTAGTGCGAAAGTGTATTGACCCATAGTGAGGATTCCATAACTATATATAGGGGAGGAGTCTTTCATTAAAGGAGGTTTTTTCTCTCTCTTCCCTCTTCTCTGTAATCTTCTTAGCAAAAGGAAGGCAAAGTCATCTTCCATGGAGGATGAAAAACAATCATCTCCATCGATTAACAAAAGAACAATTTTCAGATATCAATAAGATTGATCACCCATATATCATCTTATGCATTATTTTCTGATTTGTTTGTGGATCTGGAGGTTATTATGTTTGACTAAGATTTACCTCTTCATTCTTCTCTAAATGATTTAACCAAAAAGATCTCGCTAATTTTTGGTCAAATAATTTGGCAACGTCTGTGGGAATTTCTTAGTGAAAACTTCCTAGTCTCCTCCAGATCAAAAACCGGAAACATGATCACCCACCGAGAGGAACGATAAGTGAATCACACGCCAACCTAGATCATGATTCTATATACAAGCAAAAGTTGCAACCAACATCATCCCCCGCACGCCGAGTAGCCTATAAACAAGTCAAAACAAGCCTAGCCTGCACGGGACAAAGGCACAAAAATGAAGGGAAAGAGAACCAAATACGGTTACCAAACTCAGAAAACACCATCCCCGTCAACCATCGAAGCGCCAAGCAAAGCAAGTAATGCCGCCGATCCACCTTCGTTCACCAACTTTTCAGATTGGGATAAGGAGGATATCATCCTAACCCACCTCCTGCTGGTTGCCCAAACCGAGCGAGCAGGAAACACCCAACTGAAGAATCAAAGTGATCTCAAATGAAGAAGAGTTCAACCTCGATCGAACAACGACGGGTTAACATTTCCACGAAATCTCGAAATAACACCCTTAAGGCCAAGGGCCTCAGCCAAACAGAAGAGTTCGACCTCAATCGAACAACGACCCGAATAATATTTCGACGAAAGCTCGAAATAACACCCTTAAGGCCAAGGGCCTCCGCCAAAAAGAAGAGTTCGACCTCGATCGAACAACAACGGGTTAATATTTTGACGAAAGCTCCAAATAACACCCTTAAGGCCAAAGGCCTCCGCCAAAAAGAAGAGTTCAACCTCGATCGAACAACAACGGGTTAATATTTCGACGAAAGCTCAAAATAACACTCTTAAGCCCAAGGGCCTCCGCCAAAAAGAAGAGTTCGACCTCGATCGAACGACGACGGGTTAATATTTCGACGAAAGCTCAAAATAACACCCTTAAGGCCAAGGGCCTCCGCCAAGAGTTCGACCTCGATCGAACAACAACGGGTTAACATTTCGACGAAAGTCGAAATACATTAAGGCCAAGGGCTCCCCAAAAAGAAGAGTTCGACAAGGGCCTCCGCCAAAAAGAAGAGTTCGACCTCGATTGAACAACGACGGGTTAACATTTCGACAAAAGCTCGAAATAACAACCTTTATGGCCAAGGGCCTCCGCCAAAAAAGAAAATTTCGACCTCGATCGAACAACGACGGGTTAACATTTCGATGAAAGCTCGAAATAACACCCTTAAGGCCAAGGGCCTCCGCCAAAAAGAAGAGCTCGACCTCGATTGAACAACAACGGGTTAATATTTCGACGAAAGCTCGAAATAAAACCCTTAAGACCAAGGGCCTCCGCCAAAAAGAAGAGTTCGACCTCGATCGAACAACAACGGGTTAATATTTCGTTGAAAGCTCGAAATAACACCCTTAAGGCCAAGGGCTTCTGCCAAAAAGAAGTTTTCGACCTCGATCGAACAACAACGGGTTAATATCTCGATGAAAGCTCGAAATAACACCCTTAAGTCCAAGGGCCTTCGCCAAAAAGAAGAGCTCGACCTCGATCGAACAACAATGGGTTAACATTTCGATGAAAGATCGAAATAACACCCATAAGGCCAAGGGCCTCTGCCAAGAAGAAGAGTTCGAACTCGATCGAACAACGACGGGTTAAAATTTTGACGAAAGCTCGAAATAACACCCTTAAGGCCAAGGGCCTCCGCCAAAAAAGAAGAGTTCGACCTCGATCGAACAACGACGGGTTAATATTTCGACGAAAGCTCGAAATAACACCCTTAAGGCTCCGTCAAAAAGAAGAGTTAGACCTCAATCAAAAAATGACGGGTCAACATTTTGACGAGAATTCGAAATGATACCCCTAAGACCGAAAGCCATCGCCGAAGAAAACTGGGACTCGCGACGGGATGATACTTTGATATAAGCTCGAAAATAAAATTCCTATGGCTAAGGCCGCTATTAGAAAAAGAATCCGATACCATTCGGACGTTGACGGATTAGCACCTCGACACAAGGTGAAAAGCACCGTCCCATCGGCTAAAGCCGTCATCAAGGCTCTACTCAACCCGAGTGACCTTGAAGTCCCCTAAGAAGCTGAAGGTCAGCATGCAGAAATCTACTTTGCATCAAAATTACGAAGAGCAAAACAGGAAAAGGAGTACAGAAGGCATGTAACAATGAAAAATCTTCTTCATACAAATCTACTGCGCAAACAGTCGCAAATTACCTACAGCTAAAACAACTGGAGTCCAAGAAAAAAACAATAAACAACAATAAAAAAAAAAAGATAGCAATTCTTTCACTCAGCACCATCTCTAGGAGATCCTCCCCCATTACCCGCACCCTCATCAGCTTCCGGCGTTGCAGAGTCATATCCACAGTTAGCACGAGCCTCTCGTGCCTTCGCCCGTGCTCCTTCATATGCGGCCTCAGTAACGTTGCCCGCCTCCCACAAACTCTTGTAGATGTCCCGCTGGGCTTCAGCATGAACCCAAAGCTCATGCAAATGACGAGGAACTGCGGCGGAGGAGGATTCGACTTGAGCTAACAGTTGCTCCTTTTCGGCCTCAAGAGCAGCGACCCGGTCCCCTATGGTCAATGCCTCTCGGTCAATCTCACCAATGCGCTCCTCAAGCCTCGCTTCCTTCAGCGTGGCCGTCGCCCTCTCCGATTCCTGCTCGGATCGGAGGACGCGGATGGTTTTCTCTAAAGCGGCAGCCCCCGCTAAAGCCGATGACCAAGCACTCTCGATATTTTCCAAACCGGCAACTTTTCTCTACAACTCGGTCAACTTCCCCATCCACTCCGCGCTCATCGCCTCGACCCTGATAAAGTTCTGATCCATCTTTGATTGCATAGACCTCAACTTCTCCTGAAGATATTCGCACTCTGCAGCAACCCCTTTGCCAAGCTCAAGCTCTTCGTCCTTTGAACGAAGTTGCTCCTCGAGTACACTCCTTCTGCGGATAGCCTCCATAAGTTGTTGTCCCTCTTCTCCGTCTCCTTGTCGAGGGATCGAGCATCAGGTTTCGCCTTCAGCCGCTCGTGCATCTCACATCACTTATTGCGATAGCGCCGATATTTCCCCAGCATCATCAGGAAAATCATGGTCTGAGTATTAGCCCTACGAGCACTTTTAATCTCCACCAAATACGTCTGAAAAATGAAAAGACAGGCTAAGGCCATGCCAGCAAGAAAAACGAAAGGAACATCAAAGAGAAGTGAAACGTGCCCTCAAGCCCATAGCGGCTACTTCGTGCATCAACTCAATGTCAGGAACGTTCCGCAGAGCCTCGCTCTCGCAGCTGAGCACAAGAGGTCAACTGTTGGCCCAAGTTCAGATGAAGTTTTGAAGATTGACAAAATGAACTCAGTAAAGGACCAGGTTCATCTAAGGAGACACAGTTGTTCGTGAAGAAGATAAGTCCTTGAGATCAAGCAGCAATATCTTCTGAACTGATCGAAAAGATTGCATATAGGATAAGGAGTTGAAGTCTCCTTATGAAAAGAGAATTATATCCGGATCAAGAATATGGATTAGGAGTTAGAGTTGTTCTTGGACTCGAATTGTCAAAGGATCCACAATTCGAGTTCTTATCAAACTCTGATTACTAACTCTATAAATATAACGATTGTTCTCTTTTACAGGCAGTTGCACATAAGCAGAAGTTAAGCATATTTGAGAGCAAAAAGATCAAGTCTAATTTGCAAGCAACATATGCGAGATACAAGTGTGCACGTCTGAAGCTACATGAACTAAGATAGAAGAACCAGTTTCATCATTGTGTTTATTCTAAGTTTAGTTCAATTGTAGTAGGTTTTCATATTGTACCTTTCAGCTTTATCTAGA